TTGGTGTTAAGTTTTTTTTAAAATTTTTATTTTATTCATTTTAGTTGTTGATGGGCCTTTATTTTTAATTTATATGTGGTGCTGGGAATCGAACCCAGTGCCTCACACATTCAAGGCAAGTGCTCTACCACTGAGCCACAACTCCAGCCCTTGAGTTCTTTATATATTCTGGAAATTAGTGCTCTATCTGATGTGTATGTGGTAAAGATTTTCTCCTGTTCTGTAGGCTCTCTCTTTGCGTGGTTGTTTTTGTTGAGAAGAAGCTTTTTAATTTGAATCCATCTCATTTATTGATTCTTAATTTTTTAAAAAATATTTTTTAGTTGTTGATGGACCTTTATTTTATTTATTTATATGTGGTGCTGAGAATTGAACCCAGTATCTCAAACATGTGAGGCAAGTGGTCTACTACTGAGCCACAACCCCAACCCGATTCTTGATTTTAGTTTTTATGCTTTATGCGTTGTGTTAAGGAAGTCAGGTCTTAAGCCGACATGATGAAGATTTGAGCCTACATTTTCTTCTTTTATTGCCTTTAATTTTTGGATCTAGCAATTTTTTAAAAATTAAAACAAATAAAGATGTTTTTGTTTGTTCTCTTCCAACATGGCCTTTTAAATTATAGTTTTTTTTCATGAATTAGAAATGTATTTTTGATCTCTTCATATGACATAGCAACTAAATATAATTGAAAATAATACTTTTTACTGGGTGTGGTTAGTCATGTTATATCCAGTCACTCCCTTTTATTACTCTGAATGTGTTACTCTGAGTGTAGACTCATTGATGTGGGTCTATACATATGTGCTTTTGTTACTATGAAGCTATACATGTGTATTAATATACTTGATAGCTAAACTCTCTCTTGAATATTTCTACCATTAGTGCCTATAAGTTAATTACTTGCTTATCAGTTATGAATACATTAAATAGGAACAGAAAACTTAACAGAGAGACTTAAATATATTGAGATTTATTTTTGTCATGTAATAATAAGTCCAAGGGCTGGTAAATTCCAAATTGGGGCAATGACCCAAGGATATTGTCAAAGACCCCTTCCTCCCTCTTCCTGCTCTGCTTTCTTCCTTAGGATTAAGATGACTCTGTCATAGGCCTCATATACTCATTCTGGGAAGAAAGAAGAAAGGTATTTCTATTAGGAAAGCTGAAGGTTTTTCAGAAATCTGTTCTGTTACAATGTGCATAGGAGGTTGGGAAGTCATTTTTCAAGCAGGCACACTGGCATCCTGCACTCAGCGTTCCTTAGTGAGCAAGAGGGGCTACAGGTATTGAGGGGACGCCTTGAAGTGTCTGCTGTGTTCCATGGTTTTCACTCAGATTGAGTGGAGGACCATTTTCCTCATCATAAGATCAGTAACCAGCTGCCCAAAGATTGGATCACTTACGCTCTTCCCTCATTTGAAGAGCATCGAGTGCTCACCTCAGCGTTGACATTTCAGACCTGTCTATCTGCTGTCCATCTTGAACTGTGGCCCAGTGTACTTTTCCTCTCTAGGATGGTTCCACTTGAAAATGTGCTGATTGGTCCAAATATAGTTGAATTCAAAGCTAAGTGTGGTATCTTTGTTTTGACTTGTTGATTTAGTGAGGGTTGTCAGCATTTCCGCAAGGTAGAAATTTAAAGAATAATCCTAACTTTTAAAATTCCTTTATTTCCTAATTCATTTTCCCACCAACTGCAATTCCTAGCATTGAGACGTGTTGGCTTCGCCTCCCCCCTCCAATTCCATTCTTTCTATTTTAGTCATAGTCATTTACACTGTAATCATCATCTCCCCCCCCCCACTTCTTCCTCCTCTTGAAGACTTACCCCAGGGGGATTTTACCACTGAGCCACACCTCCAGTTATTTTTATTTTTAATTTTGAGACTGGTTCTTGCTAAGTTGCGTAGTGCCTCGCTGAATTGCTGGCTGGCTTTGAACTTGCCATTCTCCTGCCTCTACCTCCTGCATTGCTAGGATTACAGGTGCCTTTGCACCTAGCCACTCTAACCTTCCTGACACCTGTTTTCGAAACATTTCATCCCACTTGAATACCAAATCCAAATTGCTTTCATCTTTTAGGAATTTTCTTTCATTAACAGAAGTATTCTTCTTATTCAGTCTTTATTTCTCCACATAAATCGAATGTCAGAGAGAGAATGTGCTCTCTGTGCCCTGCTTCCTCCTTGCAGTGAAGACTCACCCTGCACTCTCCTGTCAGAGACTCTAGTCCTGCTCTTCTCTACTGAGATTCTTCATCCCACATGAGCCTCTTTCTACCTCATCATTCCAGACCTCATCTTTCAGGGCATAGCTTCAAATTCCTTTCTTTTGGATTGCTGACGTATCTATTCTGTTTATCTATTGGTGTTTCTCACATATGGTTCAATTTCTTTACATTTCTCAACTTCCCTTTAGGAGCATTTTTCTGTCTGCTTTTCTCTTTGTTAATTGCCCTTCGTCTGGAGCCAGGCTGCTGTTTATTACGTAGAATGAACATAAGAGCCCCATCTGTCATTTTGCTTTATAGCTGTTGTATGATATATCTGATTCATTCTTTTTTTTTTATTAGCTACACATGACATTACAATGATCTTGGCAATTCATACATTTGAGTCAATTGGGGTATAATTTCTCATTTTTCTGATTGTACAGATTGCAGAATCACATTGGTCAAACAGTCACCTATGTACATACAGCAATCATAATGTCTATTCTATTCTGATTCATTCTTTTTTATGATTTGTTTTCTGTTTCATATAGATAATGTTCTTTTTAATATGTTTATTATACTTAGTTCTTATCCTATTTGTTCTAGTATATATGTTGCCAAAATCTATACATGCTGTCCTGTTTATTGATCTTTCAAGGTAGCTATATTCCTGTGCCTATATATTTTCATATCTAGAGTAAATTATACCTTTTGTTTAATATTTAAAGAACAGTTTGTTTACCTTTTTTTTTTAAGTTGTAGATGAACACACAGCATCTTTATTTATTTTTATGTGATGCTGAGGATCAAACCCAGTGCCTCACACATGCAACACAGGCTCTTTACTACTGAGCCATAGCCTCAGCCCCCTAAATTATATCTTGAAGGAACATGGCATAATGAAATTTACTTTGGAATCAAGTGTAGGTTTAAAACTTGATTTGGCCACCTACTAACTTTTTGAACAAGTTAACCTTTCTAAGCTACAATTTCTTCATCCATAAAATTTAAGTAATTGTGTGTGTGTATGCCCATGTGTATGCTCATACATAAACCTTTTATAAAAGTACAACAAGGCAATGTTTGGTAAAATATAGTAGCATTTAGGATTAGGGTGTGTTGTATGAAAGCAGAAACTCAATATAAGTTTATTTTTCTTTAACATAAAAGGAGTCCAGGGCTACTTTGGAAGCTTTATGTTTTTCTAGGATGCATGCTTTCTTTGTCTTTCTTTTCTACAGTTCTGATGCGTGATTCCTATATTAAGATGACCACATAGTCCAAGGTGGCTGCTAGAGCTCCAGCTGTCAGCAGAAGGAAGAAAGGAATAGGGGAAAAAAGGCATGATTTCCAGTCAGTTAACTTTATTTAGCCTTCCTGGAAGTCTCTCATCATCTTTCTGATTACAGTTTCATTGGCCAGTGCTTAGTCACATGATCACACCTTGCAAATGGAGGCTGGGAAATTTAATCTGTTCTGTCACTAATGAAGAGAAAAATAATAAATATTGAGTGGCTGCTGGCTGACTCACTGTGGTGCCTGCCACATGGTGTGGCTTAAACCTTTTTTGGGGGGCCTGTGACAGGGTAGATTTTCATTCCTTTGATAATTTCTCAGTTTCTCATATCTTAAAAAAATTATCTTAGGAAGTGACAATCTAGCATTTTGTCTCTTTTTGATATATGTATTTAAAAATATTTTTTCTTTACCTTGTGCTTTGAGATAACTTCCCCAAATTGAACCTAAATAGTAATGCATATTTCATATATATATGAAGGTTTCTCATATACCTGTTCACTATGAATAGATAGACATAAATTTTCAAAATGCTTTGTTTGAAAAATCCTAAGGGAATGATTTTCTGTGCATATTTAATTCACTAATTATTTTAATTTTTTTTTGAGGGGTAAGGAAGCCCAGTAACTTGACAGTTTAGGTTATGTTTCTTCATTCATTGTGTTGTTTTGATCTCCTGATTATTTGTCTTTTTCTCTCCAACTGTGGATGAAAAGAGAGGGATAACTAGAGACACGAACTCTGCATGAAAGTAAAGAAAGAGTAATATTACTGGAAATTTCTTTTTACTTTGCTTAGCTGGACTTTATGTAAAAATAAGGTTTATATTATTAAAGTATTTTGGGATAGAAGAGTTTATATGGGTCCTTTTTATTGTACTTTAGAATTCACTAAATAGAATATTTTAAACATTTTCCATGCTTTGTCAGATTGATTCCCTCACAGGTATACGGTTCCCTAATTTATATATGAATCTGTAAAGACAGTACCATGTCATGTCTTATCACTACTACACTACTGTGTTCATGTAACCTAACATGTATGTGTTCTATATAAACACAGACACTGAGGGATAAAGACAGTCTGTTGTGAATCTTTCTTGAAATAAAATGAGTCATAAATTGAATTTAAGTTTATATATCATTCAGTTTTCATATTCAAAAAGAGTATGTAGGTAGATACACCTGAATGTTATTGTATACAATGGTAGGTGGAGTATTAAGTGAGTGGGATTGAGGGGACCTGTCAGCAAAGTAACCACACAGTGTGAATAAGAATGAGAATAGTTTTAATATTAACTAAGAATCATGACTTTATGGTACTTTTTAATGATTTTTTTTTTTTACTGGTATAGAGATAACATAGCACCATTTATTTAAAAAATCTAATATTTTCTTTTTAATTTGTTCTTTTTAGATATACATGACAGTAGAGTGAAAAAACTTAATATTTTCTTGTAGTTTGACTTTATTTGGTTTTGTTCTCATAGATATTTTCTCCCAGATGTCAGATTCCAATGGCTTAATGATATTTAGCAAGTTTGACCAGTTTCTGAAGGAAGTTCTGAAGCTCCCAACAGCTGTCTTTGAAGGGCCATCTTTTGGGTACACAGAACACTCAGTCCGCACCTGTTTTCCACAGCAGGTAAGGACAGATGGATAGACTCTAGGGCTAGCAGAGCTCTCTTCCATCCTACCACTTAGCAGGTTCTACCAGATCCTTCCAGCCTAGGATGTCATCTCTTGTGTAGGGGAAGAGGAGCATCTTTGTGGGGGCAGGGGCAGGGGTGGGGTGAGTAGAGCAGGGGCAAAACCACCTGAGAACTCCTGTGGGGAAGGGGTTTTTTTCTGAAAAAAGGATCACATTTGTAATATTTTTAAAAAAAGTTTAAAAAAGTGTTTATATTATTGCCACTGGACATTGGTTCTTTTCCATGTGGGTTCTTTAAACTGTGAAATGCAGGGTTTTGACATAAAACTGTAGCAGGGCCAGAGATGGGAGAGCATGCAGCTCTCAGCTGCCAGCACCTGCCCCTCAAGTGTGCTGCCAAGTTCTCATGACAGGAAGATGGATTTTGACTTCCTCCTGAGGCCTTTGCCTAGACGTTGGGGTGAGTGCCTCAAAGGACTAGGGTTAGAATAGACACTAGTGAAGGCTCAGATTAGATAAAAGAGCTTAAAACTACCTTAGACAATTCTGGAAAGTGGGAAATTAATAAAAAAAATACACGTTAAAACTAATGGTAAAAAAAGTTAATGGAAATAGGATATTGACGTAGTGTGAAAGTATTAAGATACTTGCTGATTACCTAGAGAAACAGTGATTTTACAGGTGGGTAAGCCTGTCAGACATGACTTTAACCAAGTGATCAGAATGCTTATCACCAGTGAAGAGATAAACTGCTTTCAGGATCTTTACGAAGTTCAACCCAAAACATAGCCTGAAGTGGGCCCAGCACCTTGTGTTTTTGTCCACCAGGCCCCTGGGGTGAACTTGTGGGTCATGTGCACATGGCTCTCCTCTTAGGGTGCTTCCTGGAGGCTGCATGTTGATCAAATCCTGGGAAGCTGCTCTTGAGTGAAATGGCATCAGAATGGAGAAGGGTGTTCACACACAGTGAAGGACAGTGTCTGACAAGTGAGTGACAGTTATGGGGTGGTAACTCTAAAGTGCCCTTCAGTGTAAATTGTTATCTGAGTGCCATGAGGAGAATCCATGTTAATCCATGGAATAACAGTTTAAAATGTTAAACTGTTTATTTAAAATTTAAAAAATTGTTATTCTTAATTCTGAGAGTGCTGTTCCAGATTCTGCAAGTTACCTCACAAAGGGTATGATTGTGAGGCCTTCCAATTCACAGCCTGATTGTGCTTTCCACTTGCTTCAGATTGCTGTAAAAAAGCAATCTACATTTTGAAATATGGCAAATTTGGGCCTGGGGTTGTGGCTCAGTGGTAGAGTACTCGCCTTGCATGTGTGAGACCCTGGGTTAGATCCTCAGCACCACATAAAAACAAACAAAATAAAGATATTGTGCCCATGTATGACTAAAAAAATATAGTTTTTTTAAAAAGGAAATAAGGCAAATTTGGAGAAGTCTAAGAAGCTCTTCTCCGTTTAGAGAAGCTTGAGTTTTCCTAACTTCTTGAAGATGTTTAAACAAAGCTTCTGAAGAAATATAAACTGTGGACAGAATGACCAAAAATGAGACTGAATAAAGTTTGATGCAACAAGAATAAATTCACGGAATATTGGGTTTCTTTTTGAAAGTGGGCCTTTCCTGCACAGTTTGTTTCCTGCAGTGCTTCTTTCATGTGAGCTGGATCATATTGTTGCCAGACAGAGCCGAACCAGGACAAAGTGGAAGTTGCTTTGCTGGTTCTTACACAGTTTTCCTCAGCATGCTGATGTTCTGTGATGAACAGAGAAGTGACTACAATTAAAGAGAAAAAATAAATATTTTAAGAAAGAACCGGAAATCCTGTAGAGAAAGAAGTGATAGGTTTAGAGGATTCATGAACTGCTTCTCTTTCCACAGCTTTGTGACAACGAAGCTGCAGTGCAAGTGATAAATAATATGTGAAGGTACCCCTGCCATGCTAAAATAACTGATGAAATCAGCTGTCCCCGGGATCCAGTGTGTAGTTTTTGTAAGATTGATCTGTGTTGGAAATTGTATTGCCCTTATCATGAAGCAGGAAAATATCAGGATTTAAGGCTGAAAGGTGATACCTGAGGGTGACTCCTGGTGAAAGTACTTGCGGAGGTCTAATTGGCTGGTATCATTAGTGCATTATTATTGTTTGGTCTCTGTTTCCAGGAATATGTGTGTTGCGTTGATGTAGAAATGCTTTTTTAAAAAAATGAAATGAGGAGAATTACATATTGGCTTATTTTAATAGATTTTTGGTATTGGTGTATTTTCTTGTTTGTTTTTGTAGTGCTGGGGATTGAAACCAGGGCATCATGCATGCTAGGCAAGCACTATACCACTGAACCATATTCCTAGTTCCATGTATCAGTTTAATTCATTTTTAAAATATTTGTAGTTGGGTGCTGTAGAACATGCCGGTAATCCCAGTGATTCAGGAAGGTGAGATAGGAGGATCGTGAGTTCAAGACTAGCCTTAGCAATTTAGTGAGACCCTGTCTCAAAAGTAAAAAATGCAAAGGGGCTGGGGATGTGACTCAGTGATAAAGCACCCCTGTGTTCAATTCACAGTACCAAAACAAAAAACACATTTGTTCCTGTTTTTATACCCAATAGAAGATGTATGGAGTTGTGTGGTTTAGTTTTAAGGATAAAGCTTGACATGACTGCAGCCATCTTGAGTCATAACCACCACGACTGACCTAGAAACCCTGCATAGTTTCCCAACAAATCAAAAGTAGATAAAGCCACTAGAGCCATCTGAGGGACTTTATAATGGGACCATGGCTCCAGAGATGTACTTGACTCATCAGTATTAAGATAAACCAGGTACATTCCAGATGGGTAAAATCACTTTTTTCCTAATCCATAAATATGCCCCTCCTCTGACCCAAAATGTGGGGATTGGCTGGCCCAGTTGCCATCCAGGACTAAACTTCAGTAAGGCCCCCAGTAAATTGCACTCTGCAGTCCTACATCTGTCTGCCTCTCTTCCTTTGGTCTCATAGCACCTTTGGGCTGTTCCTCAGATACTGGGACCAAGTTTTCTGGAAAATTAGTAGTTTTTAAAATAAGAAACGTTAAAGTATTTATGTTAGCTCAACAGAATTCACCCATTAGAATAGATGAAAATTAGTGACTGACACCAAATGTTGATGAAGATTTGGAGCAACCAGACCTTGCATATAGACCACTTTGGGAGAAGCCCTGGTGATTTCCCATAAACCCAAACAGAACTTACCCATGACCTAGACCTTCTACTCCAAGGTTTTTGCCAAGTGAAATGAAAACATGTCCTCAAAAAGAATTTTACAAGAATACTCTTACCAACCTTATCCATAATACCCCCAAATTGGAGCCATCCTCGGTATCTATCATGATAAAATGTTTATGAGATAATGTGACTGGAATTAATTTTAAGATAATGGAGGTAGAAGGAGTTTGAAAGCATAGATAAAACAGAATTAGTTGTATGTTGAGAATTGTTGAAGCTGGATAATAGGCATACTGTACCATTCTCTTTACTGTGGTAGATTTAAAAAATTTAATAATAGAAAAATTAATTCCATTTGCACATTCATATGGTGCTTATTGTCTGAACATTGCAATATTAATGTAGCACTCCAAGCCTAATACTTGGGTAAATAAATCAAATATATTAAGATTTTTTTCAGTGTCTTTGAGTTAAAAGATGGACTTTAAAGGCTTAAAAGTTATCAAAAATAAACAGTATGGGCTGGGTTCCTAGCTCAGTGGTCGAGTGCTTGCCTGGTATGTGTGAGGCACTGGGTTTGCTTCTCAGTACCACATATAAATAAATAAAAATCAAGGTCCATTTGACAACTAAAAAAAAATTAAAAAAAAAAATAAATAGTAAATATATTTAAATTTCTCCCATATTTCCCCCAAACTTCAGAATTTTAGGGAAGGGTTGTATTTCTCCTTTGAAGACTGTTTTACCATTTGTTTTATTACTTGTTTTCTAGTTCTTCATCTGACTTTAATTTGAAGAGTTCCACCTGCCCTCCAGGGGTTTTAGGTTCACTGCTCTCTGCCTGAAAGAGAAACCTGAGTGAGCAGAATGGAGTGGGTAGAGTGACAGGGAAGTAGGTGCAGTCTTGCAGGGTGACACTGTATTGGACGCTGTGCCACACTCTTCTTGATTCACAGAGGAAGTGGGAAGAGGTAGAGATGGGATTATATAATTGCTGGTTGATTTTCAGAAAAACAAGACTATTTTATATCTGGAAATATCTTCTGATTACACTTTGACCAACCTGTTCTCTTTGGCTATGTGCCAAAATAACTTTTGTTCTCACTTTGAGACATTTTCTGGATGTCCTCACTTTGCTTCTCTGGACATTGAAGAAAGTTTGGTAGGAATTCCCTGGCATGAATATGTGGGTATCTGTGTTATTTCACAGGTATTCTAATTAAGGAGCTTTTTTAAGCATTCATTAGTGACCCTTCATCTTCCAGTAAACTGATGTGGACTAGTCCCACTGGTTTCAGTGATTCAGAGGCAGGTTTGAGATACCCCATGTAGCCAGTGGCATCATAAGTGGCACTTGGTAGGCAGTGGTCTGACAGGTTGTCATTTCCTGCATATGTGTGAAGTTGATCATAGCCAATCAGACTGTCACTTCATCTGAGTCAGGTCCATTTTTGATATGTGTTGTCATTTCACATGTTCTTAAGAATATACTGTGATCTGGCAATAAAAAATAGTTTGTGTAAACACAGAAAAGAATGAACATGGAGCAGAGGGGAATATATTTGGTGTTGGTCAAACAGATATTCATCATTAGAGGAATTTCATATTTTCTTGTAAAGCAACAGCAGGTGTTTCCAGATATTTTTTAAAAGAAGGATTTCACCAAATTGATGAAACTATATAATTTTAATTACTGAGATATGACCTAAATAATTTCTTGTCAAACCAGTGCATCTGAAGGTAGACAAAACTGCCTAATCCCTCTGAATAGATGAAAGA